TCTTTGACAAATTAACACTTCATTCTCACTTTGTTTGATCTCAATTCCAAGAAAATAGGCCATGAGACCAAGATCTGTCATTTCAAAAGATTGCATCATTTCTTGCTTGAACTCGTCAACTAGCCTTGCGTCATCTCTTGTTACTAAAAGATCATCCACATAAAGAGAAACTATGAGAAAAAACTTTCCCTTATGTTTCACATAAAGAGTGGACTCGGATAAGCTTTTTACAAAGCCTATGCTCAATAAGTGATCATTAATCTTGTTGTACCAAGCCCTTGGCGCTTGCTTGAGGCCATAGAGAGCCTTTTTTAGAAGATAGACTTTATCTTCTTCACCTTGCTTCACGAATCCTTCTGGCTGGTCTACATATATTTCTTCATGTAGCTCTCCATTTAAAAAAGCTGATTTAACATCTAACTGAAATATTTTCCAGCCATTTTGTGCAGCAACTGCTAACACCTATCTAATAGTATCTAATCTGGACACAGGTGCAAAAGTGTCAGAATAATCAACACCAAAAATTTGCGCATACCCTTTAACTACAAGTCTGGCCTTGTGCTTGTTGATTGAGCAATCTGCATTAAGCTTTGTTCTGAAAACCCATTTAACTCCAATGACTTTTCTATTTTCATGTCTGTCAACCAGCTCCCATGTTTTGTTTTTTTGTATCATGGACATCTCCTCCTCCATTGCAGTTTTCCATTTCTGGTCCTTTTGCGCTTCCTCGCAGCTAGCAGGTTTACAAACTTCTACATTACATCTTTGATAGATGTCAGATAACAGCCTTTTGCCTGTGACTGGAGGGTCGTCTTCTAATTCATCATGTAACAGCTCTGTTGTTTGCTGTCCCGAATGCTTATCATCAATGTTGCCAAATAGTTTAGTTGTTCTTTGTGAGTTCTCCCAATTCCATTGCTGTTCTTCATTAAAGTGCACATCTCTGGTAACAATCATCTTTCCGGTTTGAGGATGATACACTTTGTAGGCCTTTGAAACTGAACTGTAACCCACAAAGATGCCTGGAGTTGCCTTCTTGTCAAGTTTGTCACGCTTAGCCTGTGGAACATGTGCAAAACAAACACAACCAAACACTTTAAGAAACGTTAGTGATGGCTTATACCCATACCAAGCCTCAAATGGAGTTTTATCCTTCAAGGCTTTGGTTGGAAGCCGATTTTGGAGAAAAACCGTTGTGTTAGCCGCCTCTGCCCAAAATGTTTTAGGCAACTCCTTCTCATGTAACATGCATCTAGCCATCTCCAACACCGATCTATTTCTCCTTTCACTAACCCCATTTTGCTATGGAGTGTAAGGGGTTGTGAGCTGATGTTCAATACCAGCTTCTTCACAAAATTGATTAAATTTTGTTGATGTATACTCTGTCCCATTGTCAGATCTTATACATTGAATCTTGCAGCCACTTTGAGTTTCCACCATTTTCTTGAACTTCATAAATACTCCAGCCACTTCATGCTTAAATTTCAAAAAAAATATCCAGCACATTCTTGTGAAGTCATCTATGAAAAGAATGAAGTATAGACTACCTTGTAGTGATGGTGTTCTTTGGGGTCCCGCCACATCAGTGTGAACAAGCTGCAACTTTTGAGAAGCTCTCCAAGCTGATTTGGGGAATGATTTTCTTATTTGTTTACCAAATTGACAAGCATTACAATTTGGTAAATTATCAGAAAGTATTGGCAGACCTCTTGACATGCCTTTTCTTTGCATGTTCAACATTCTTTCAAGATGGCAATGGCCGAGTCTCTTGTGCCAGAGTTCTGTTGGACTGACTTGAGTAAAATAGACTGCCTGCTCCTCCTCTGTTGGATCAAACGAGAAGCTTTTACCTCTCATTTTAACCCGTAAAACTTCCCAGCCAGCAATGTCGTATATGAGACATTGTTGATTTTCAAAGGATACTTTAAATCCCTTTTTAATCAACTGACCTACACTTAGTAAGTTTTGGTCAATGTCAGGTACGTAGAGAACATCAGATATAATTTTGGTACCTGAACACGTTGAAATTGCAATGGTTCCTTTTCCTTTTGCAGTAATATAGCCACCATTCCCTATTCTGACCTTTGAGACATTTGTGGGCTTCAAATCCTTGAATAGAGTCTTGTCATATGTCATGTGGTTCGTACAACCACTATCAATTAACCAGCATTCAGAATTGCTCCTTGTCGAATAGCATGTTGCAGCAAAAATATAGTCTTCTTCATCTTGCTCAACAACTTGGGCATTGGCTTCATGTTGCTGTTGAAATTTGCTCCTACAAATTACAGCTTCATGTCCAAGTTGATTGCATTTGCTACACTTTGCTTCTGGTCGTTTCCAACATTTGTATGGTGGGTGACCCAATTTCCCGCAGTGCTGACAAGGTGGGTAGTTTTTCTTTTTAACCCTACCATTGTTTTGGTTGTTTGCACTATTACCGTTGCTTGATGGCTGGTCCTTCTTGACATGCTTCTTTCTACTGGTTTCCCCATAATGGTGCTTGGCTCGTAAAGCACCTTCGACTGCACCATCTTGTCTCATCAACCTTCGCTGCTCTTGGGACTGCATAGCACTTACAAGTTCTGCCAATGTGATCTTTGAAAGATCCTTAGTGTTTTCTAATGAAGTAATAGAAGCTTCAAATTTTTCAGGAGCAGTTACTAGTATTTTCTGAACTATTCTTGAATCAGAAAAATCAGAACCTAACAACCTCACCTTGTTAGCAATGTTAAGAAGTATGTTTGCATACTCCTTAATTGTTTCAGACTCCTTCATCTTCTGCATTTCAAATTCTCTAACCAGATTCATTACTTGCATTCTCTTAATTCTTTCATCTCCTTCATATTCTTCCTTGAGGAAATTCCAGATCTCAAATGCCGAATTAATCGTCATGATTCTGGTGAAAATGTCTTGTGAGACAGCAGCAAACAAAGTAGCTCTTGCCTTAGATTGTCTTCCTTTCTTCTCCTTGTGATGTTTTATCTGAGCCATAGTTGGATTGTTCGGTAAAGGAAGAACTTCATATTCTTCCTCAACGGCTTCCCAAAGGTCATTTGCTTTTAGGTAAGCCTCCATTCTTGCTGCCCAGATGTGATAATTATCACCGTCAAACACAGGCGGTGCTAGTTTTGTGTAAGGAGTTTCAAAATCCATCTATTTGATGAATTGAAGGAAGGTTTATTATGGTGGGTTTTTTAATGGGTTCACTCACAGGTCCCTCTAAGAAGAAGGTTCTAGATACCAATTTGTTAGTTTAATAGCAGAAAATAACAAATAGAGAGGCAGAGAAGTAGAGAAAACGGTTGGTTAAAAGAAAGTAATATCTTTTGATCAATAGAAGCGTTACAATAAATAATAGAAAGGAAAACTGAAAACTATCCCACGTAACCAGGATTTTAGGGAATTGAATAATTAAACTAATTTGCTCCTAAAGTATAGCAACTACTACTAGCTTGCTCCTAAAGTATAACAACTACTACTAGCTTGCTCCTAAAGTATAGCAACCACTAATTGACTAAAAAACTGAAACAATAAAATAAAATAGTAATAATAAATCTAGCAGTTACAAAAGCACATTTAATAACTTCCTTATTGGTTATTTTACCACTTCTCAATCTCATACATACAAGGCATTGAAAAATTTAATGAATGAAAAAACGTTGCTTAGACAAATGTCTTAATAAGTAAAGGGAAAAAAAAACAAGAATTTTGTAGAAAAAACAGTCTCATCGGGTGTGCCAATTTGTTTACCGTGAAATTTTATAAACAAAGACAAGGTTAATTTTACTTAAGGGATTAAATTTGAAAATATCCTAGGACAGATTTGTGCGAAAAATGTATGTTTTCAAGGATTTTGACAATGAACGTCAAGAACATCGAATGAAAAAACAATGCAGTAAAGCGAATGAGTAAAAAGAAAAAGTTAAAGGAAAAAAATAACTTGATAAATGAAATGTAAGTGCATACATTAGAAACTCATTTCTCACTTTTACAATTGGATACTTTCAGTGTGTAATGTGTAAAATTCCGGACCTCTAAAACTGCAAACAAGCATTAGACACTGCTTATATACTAGTCTTAATATAACCATCTACAACGATCGACTTAGCAAAACTTGACACATCTTCGTCTTCATGCATCTTTCGTCTTTAACAGGTTTTCACATATTTTTGAATAACTGTATAATCTTATCAATACTCTTTGATAAAAACATCATAGTCACGTCATTAAAGCAATCCGAGTAAAACTTACTCAAGATAGTAATATTGCTTAACTTCATGTGAATCATAACAATTGAGTGTTTTGTAAGGACAAACATAAATTCCCCAATATAACACTAAAAAATGCAAACAGTTATTTATTTTTACAGTTTCTTCTAAAAATAAGCAACCTTCATTAAAGGATGCAATGTTGGCGAACCAATATACTAAACAGACAGAACAATTACTTCAAAGAGAATTAGAATATGTTTATTTAAATCATAGAGAGAATCCATGGGTAGCCCTGCAAATTCAATAAGTTAACTTCATAAAAATAGCTTTAATTGGGATCTTCAAGAGAAAACAAATAAAAGGATAGATTGCACAACAAGGAACAAAAGCAAGTATGCATCTTTATCAAATCTCATTCTTAATGACCCCCATCAGCTGCCTAAGAAGCTACAAGACAATGAACACCTACCGTTTCTATATATGTAAACCATGTGGTTTGGAAAATCCTTGTCCAGTTTATGCCTTCCCCAAAATGCTTATTAGTAGTTGCCACTTTCCGCTTAATTTAAAGCTTTTAGGATAACACAACGTTTTTCTACAAACAAAAAGATGGGTAAACGTGGAAAAATAACATTTCTTCATTTTATTTTACACCTTCAAAAGAAAAAGTTATTGAGAACATACAGGTTTTTACATTAAATGGATAATACAAAGGTTGGAAGCAAAGTAACCTTCATCCTTTTATTCATAAACTATATAGGCAATGAGTTTTCCCTTTTCTGATAGTTACTATTTTGCATCTTTTGCAGCCTTGTTTCTTCCGAGATAATTCTTAGCAATTTGTGCAATGTTTGCCAATGGATCGATGGAAACAAGGGAAGCATTAGCTGCATCCTCGACTTCATACTCTATTGTAGATTTGATTATGCTCGAATCTTCACCTTTCTCTTTAACTTCAAAACGAACTCTATATAGTGTGAATCCAAATTCCAAGTATCCACCTTCAACTACCTCTACTTCTTTGATACGCTTTTCATTATCAATCTTGGTGAACTTCTCACTGTAACTAGCTGGGCCGGGTATACCTGATCAAACTCCAACCAAAACAATCAATGTTATTTTTGGGAATTTAAAAAACAGTCGGCGACTGTGACGATCGCAATCAGTGTCGGTACCAACCGAAATCACGAAATCCTTATCAGGATGCAACTGTTTTTTTGAAACCCTGATAAAAACTATAAATAAAAATACAGTAATAAGAATATAAATGACCTGGGGTGAATGTGAGTTTGAGAATAGTTCCAACTCCTCCATCTCCTTCAACTATTTCCACTTTCTGAAACAATTCAGGCATCTCTTCCCCAACGAGTTTTCCAATACCAAGTGTGCCAAAGAGTTCCCATGCTTCATTTGCTGGCACATGAAGCTCCAACTCATGCTCTAGTTGACCAGACATCTTCTCTCTTTATCACAAAACCTTACTCTTGTTAGTTTCAAAATGTAGACACTTTGTTACTTATATATATATGTCAATGAATGTGATATGAGAGCTAATTAAGAAGAAAATATTTGGGAATATTACATCCGTGTATTCCTTACGTTACATTCAATGAAACCGTTTAGTTTAGGAGTATCTTTTATCTTTTCTTCTATGTTTTTCAGTGAATGTTTTTTTTTTTCTTTTCCTATTGTTGACTTATTAATTTGTTTAAAGTACACATCTTTATTTAAAAATGGAAGATTCCATTATTTTTGATAGCATCATGGCCGGCTTAATACAAGTTGAGTTGTGTTCTTAAACAATTTTTTATACATATTAGAGACAAACTCTTGAATGTTTAGAATATTGAGAATAATAAATGTGAATAATCTTCTTTGTTAATTAAAAATGTGGAAATTTAAATATTTATAATAAAAGAATCCACACACGTATCATTTTAAATATTAGAGACAAATTGTTGGATGTCTAGAGGTTATAAACATAAATAATTGGTCTGACACATCCCTCTCTCCTTATATACATAGTGCAAATAGGAAACCATACTGCTAAATGATTGCCCCATGCTAACTAGGGCAAATTAGATCCCTCAAAATCAAAGACCTATCCCTCTCATGTTGACAAAGCAATGTCAAATAACATTTATCTCAACCCTCACTATTATAAATAATATATTTTATAATAAAAAATTTATTCCAATCAACTTATATCTTTGAGGTTAATCTATAGGTGCCCAATATTTTCAATTTATTCCTTCAGTTTGAACTTCCAACCCAGAAGAAATGTAGTTGGGGAATTAAACCTCAAAATCCATATTTTGAATATTTACTTTCTCTTTTTTTAATTGACGGCTTTCTTATTTTCATACTTTTATTATTTATCTATTCTCGGGTTGGGACTTTTAACCGAGGAGAAATATCATGTATTTATTTCACATGATATTTTTTATTTATTTTAAATTTATCTATTACCTCAGTTGGATTATCCAACTGAGAGGAAATCTCTTTTACATTTATTTTTTAAAATTACTTTAATTATTCATGTATCTCTCAAGACTCATTTCATATTCATTCTTCTGCGAAACCGAACCTTCTTTTAAGAAAACATATCCTAGACGATTTTCATCTTCATCTTCATCTTCTCCATCTAAATGCCCTAACATCTAAACTCATATTTCATCATTATTTTCGAAACTTCATCTCTTCCCACACACGTAAGTATTTGATCATCAATTCTTCTAACACACGCACATTTTCTCCCTTTGAAAGCCATAACGCCATTGAAGCACCAACGAAACTCGAAACAGAGGATAGAGAACCAAACATCAATGAAGCTTCCTCCATCATTGTCATCTCTTCTTCATCAAGTTTTTGGTACGTAAGTCACTTTATCCATGCATGTAACTTAGGAATGTTATTTTTTATTGTGCGGATTGCTTATTGATTATGTTGAGGAAGTTATTTTTTCTATTACTTGTTTTGTTATTATGATTATGTTGAGAAAAATGAAAATATATTTTTCCTTTTTATTGGTGATGTTGCCAAAGGTCCATATGTATCATGAGTTAAGTAAAGTCCATATGTACCATGAGTTAAGTTAAATAGATTTTTCCTTTCTAGTGTTGATTTTGTTGATGTTGTGTTAAATAAAATGGTTATGATGTTATTCATGTGAAGTCCTCTTATAAACGTGTTAAGTAAAATACACCTTATGTACTATAAATCTCACATTAGGTGCATTTGTTAAAGTTATTCTTACGAAGTGCTATTAGATTTATTTGTTGATGTTGTGTTAAGTAAAATGATTATCAGGTTATACTTATGAAGTGCTCTTAGGAAGTGTTCGTGTTGTGTTAAGTAAAATGTACCATATGAATCTCACATTAGGTCTCTTTGTTGATCTATATTAAGTAAATTGTGTATTATTATCATTGTTATTTAAATAGAGATGGGTGATTCAACCACGATCTCTCTTACAACCATCTATCCTAAGACTAAAGATACAAGAAATTTTAGAGGTGTCACAATGAGGCCAGGTTGAAAAAAGTCCGCAACACTGGTGTTAGGATGCCAAATGATATTTTTTTTAACAAGTAGTAAGTGTTACGGTGAAAATGCTACGACTTTTAAGAGTTATGTGACATTACTTGATTGAAGCAAAGCAAGCATTTTGTTAATGATTGGAACCTGGTTGATAGTGAAGTGGAAAAAAGTATATGGAATGATATTGGGGTATTTATTTTAATTTTTATGATTTGTTTTATAAGTATATATGACCATTTTTTGTTTAATACTAATATCAAATTTATTCTGTAAATGTAGGATATTTTTATTGATCCAAAAGATGATGATAAACTAGCAAAGAAATGGATTTCATATGCTGGTGAGCGATGAGTGGCCTTTAAGACACATCTCGCAACAGGTTAAGAAGTCAATGTGTAACTTAAGGTCTTAACCTGAGATGTATAGTTTTATTGATTAAGGCACTTGGGAGAGATTTGTTCAAACATGTTTGATACATAACATGTTCATTGAATAATGTCTCAATATCTAACCTGTAAAATATGCATCCCAATGACCAATATTTATGGAAACAAACTATAATATAAGTTGTTCAAACCTGTTTGATACATAACATGTTCATTGAATAATGTCTCAATATCTAACTTGTAAAATATGCAGCACATTGAATAATGTTTCTTAACATGTTCAATAAAATGATTTGATACATAACAGATTTAATAACATATTAGATACATAACAGGTTCAAAAACATGTTTCAAAGTTTGATACATAACAGGTTCAATAACCATTCCAACATTCAATAACATATTTGTTAGAACACAGATTGGTGTTTCTTATATCTCTATGTTTTGATGATAACTTTTATGGAATTTTGTAATGAGTAAATATACACTCTAAAATTTGTTCAAGTATTATTGTTTCAGGTATAAAATTAAATACTCTTAAAAGAAGCAAAATATATAAGTACAAAGAAACTATGCAAAGCTCTGAAGCATCAGATGCAAGACTATCAGAAGATTCTGAAGCGCTGCCAGAAGGATCTGAAGCAGAAGCTACAGAATGATCTGAAGCGTTAATGAAAGAAGTATACAAAAGCTGAAAGCTCTGATCTTATCAGACTCTGAAGTTCTTTTTACTTCAAACTCAGAGGCTTTAATAACCAGACTCTTATCATTAATATTCACACTCAAAGCACATACTGCTGCATACTCTGATGAAGACTCTGATCAAGACTGAGACTCTGATACATTAAAAGATCTGATCATCTATCTAGACTCTGAATTTGTCATTCATCTTAAGCTCTGATCATCTTAAAGCATTCCATACTGAAGACTTCATATTGAAGAAAGCTTGTTGAAGAAGCTGTAAACTTGATTAGACGTGGTGCTACTTCCAAAGTAACCAACGACTAATTTGTCCAAAGAAGTGACGTGGTGCAAATCCCAAAGCTTCTACAACCATACTTTTCTGCAGAAAGCATATCTCTGCCCATACTTTTGGTGATGAAAAGTTATACAATCAAATATTATATTCAGCTGCACATCATTCAAGGCATTTGAAAAAGATATAAAAGGAGAACTACTTCAACATTTTGATGTTGCTAATTCAACTACTCATCTTTTGCTCATTGCTAGATCACTCAGAAAGAAATACACGTTTGATTCATAAAAGAGAAAATCTCTCAAGATCTTACTCATTTGATCTTTCATAAAATCACATAGTTTTTGTTGTACTTAATCTTAAGTGTAAACATCACAGTTGTGATACAGCTTATAAGAAGCATTCAAACACTTGTTAGTTTATATTAAATTGTAAGAAGTTCCTTAAGAAGACCAAGGTGTGGTCAGTAGTTCTTGAGAAGACTAAGACGGTTGTTCTTAGTTCTTTCTATTGTAATTAGTTGATCAATAGTGGATTAAGTTCTTGCAGAGAAAGGTAAATCATCTTTGATAAGGTGGACTGGAGTAGTTGAGTTCAACGAACCAGGATAAAAATATTGAGTTCTTTTTATTGCCATATTTCTTAAAACTCTTATTCAACCCCCCTCCCCCCTCTAAGTGTTTTTCTCACGTTCAGTTGGTATCAGAGCTCCGGTTTTGTTTGTGCTATCACTTAACCGTGACCAGAAAAGATCCAGCGAGAAAAACTCTTGATACTCTTGGTTGATATACATTATGGCTGCTGAAACTCAAACACCCAACAACAACAAATATGAAGAAAGAGTCAGCACAAAACCTCCCATGTTTGATGGAGAGAAGTTTGATTATTGGAAAGATAGACTAGAAAGTTTCTTTCTAGGATTTGATACTGATCTTTGGGACTTAGTCATTGATGGATATGTTCATCCCACTGATGGGAATGGCAAGAAAGTTGACAGAAAATCAATGACTGAGGAGCAAAAGAAGGAATTCATAAATCACCACAAGGCTAGAACTATATTGCTAAACGCTATATCTCATACTGAGTATGAGAAAATAACCAACAGAGAAACTGCCTTTGATATATTTAAATCCCTAAAGATGACTCATGAAGGGAACTCTCAAGTCAAAGAAACCAAGGCTCTGGCGCTGATCCAGAAGTATGAAGCTTTCAAGATGGAAGAATCTGAGTCTATTGAAGCAATGTTTTCCAGATTCCAGATTCTCACTGTTGGCTTAAAGGTTCTGGACAAGGGTTACTCTACAGCAGACATGTCAAGAAAATAATCAGAAGCTTGCCAACCAGATGGAGACCCATGGTCACTGCTCTGAAGCTGGCAAAGGATCTGAACAAGATTACGCTGGAAGAACTAATCAGTTCTCTAAGGAGTCATGAGATTGAACTAGAGGAAGATGAGCCTCTAAAGAAAGGTAAGTCAATTGCGTTAAAATCTAATAAAGTTGTTAAAGCATTGCGGGTATTAGAAGAAAGCTCTAAAGAGTCTGCTTCTGAAGA